GTGTCGGGGGGGTTTTGGGGTGTTGGGAAGGGGGGTGATGCATCGCCCCCCCCTCTTCTTCCCGGCGCGGCCCTGCGGGTCCCATCCTGCGGCACGCAGAGCCTCCCACGCCGGTCCCGGGGCGAGGGGGCGGCGGCAGCCGGGGGCTGCTCTAGCGGCGCCCCAAAAATCCTTCCTGGGTGTGGGGGGGGAATCTCGGGGGGAGACCCCTGAGCCCGCTTTGGGGGCGCAGAGCCCCACGGCTGGGAGCTGTGCCGTGCTGGGTCCGTGCCGGGTCCGTGTCGGGTCCGTACCGGGTCCGTGCTGCATCGCCGCGCTCCGCTGCCCCCGATAACCGGGCTGGGTGGTGCCAGGAGCCGTGCCGGGCCGGAATCCGGCACCGGATGCCCGGGCAGCGCCAGGAACAGGGCTGGATCCCGGCTCTGGGAGCTGTGCCATGCCAGGGAGCTGTTCTGGGCCAGATCCCGGTACCGGGAATCATCCTGGAGCCCCGGGCTGTGCCAGGGAGCTGTTCTGGGCCAGATCCCAGGACCGGGAATCATCCTGGATTCCCGGGCTGTGCCAGGGAGCCTTGGCGGGGCTGATCCCGGTACCGGGAGCTGCGCTGGGTACCCGTGTCATGGCGGGGCTATTGGCCCCGGGTCCCCGGCTGTGCCAGGGAGCTGCACCGGACCGGGTACCAGCACCGGGAGCCGTGCTGTGCCAGGGAGAGGCGCTGGCTCAGATACCGGCACCGGGAGACAGATTGTGCCGGAAAGAGGGGCCAGAAAACCGTGCCGTGCCAGGGAGCCGTGCCGGACAGCAGCACCAGGTGCCCAGCGGTGCCAGGGCTGTGCCCGTGCCGGGTCCCCGTGCGCTGTGCCGGGATGGTGGCAAGGGGTGGCCATTCTGGGTGGCCCGAATGTGCCAGGCTGTGCCGGAGAGCCGTGCCGTGCCAGGGAGCTGTTGGGGCAGCCGTGCCATGCCCAGTGGCCGCATGCGATGGCCGTGCCGCACTGGACACCTGTCCTGTGCCAGAGGGCCATGTTGGACAGCAGTGCCACGCCGGAGATCCGTGTGGGACTCACGGGCTGTGCCAGGCCCGCAGCCATCCCCTGCCTCAACTCTGAGTCCTTCATGGCCACCGTGGCCACCACTGTGGGGTAGGGGACAGGGCCGTGGGGCAGGACATGGGGACACGGGACAGGACATGGACACGTCCCCGCAACCCCCGGGGGTGCCACCTCCCGGTGCCCGCGGGCCCAGCGGGGCCGTGTCGGTCGCGGCGGGTCCCGCTGTCCCCGGGGAGCTTTGATCGCGAGCGGAGCCGAGGCCGCGGCTGCCTCTTTGATAAAGGAATTAATTAATGAGCTGCTGAACACGCGGGCGCCGACACTGGGGCACGGGGAGCGCCCTGGCCCCGCTTTGGGCTCCCCGTGGCCCCACTCCTGCCTCAGTTTCCCCCCCGCCGGCGCCGTTTGGGGGTCTCCCAGCCCCGTTTTTTCCTTGACTCGCCCCCCACTCCTTTTGAATACATGATTTTAGCCACCATCATCGCGAACTGCATCGTCCTGGCGCTGGAGCAGCACCTGCCCGACGAGGACAAGACCCCCATGTCGGAGCGGCTGGTGAGCTGGGGGCGGGCGGGGTGCCCCGGGGGGCTCCCGGGGAGGGTCTTGGGCATCGCTGGAGCTTAGGGGGGGGGTCCCTGGGGGCTCCCGTGAGGGTCCCCGCCACCCCTGGGGCCTCCAAAAAGGGTCCCTGGAGACTCCTGGAGCTCTGGCGAGGGTTCTGGGGACTCTACTGGGGGTCCCCAGCCCACCGCGGGGTCCCTGTCGTGTCCCTGCCCCCTCGGCGTGGGCAGCAGGACGGGGGGTGGCAGAGGGGATGCCAGCCCGCACCTGGCCCACGCTGGCCACGATTCCCAGTTCCCCCCGGAACCGCCGGCGTCCCAGTTTCCTCCTTACTGGGAATCTGGGCCAAGCCGGGAGCGCCGCCCCCTCCGCCCGGGGCCACCTGGGGAGGGCTGGAGGGGGCCGGGGGGCAGCGCTGACCCTTCGGCCCGGGGGTGTCCGGAGGTGGTCGCGTCCCCCGTCACCTGTCCCCGACACCTGTCCCCGCTCCCAGGACGACACGGAGCCGTATTTCATCGGCATCTTCTGCTTCGAGGCGGGGATCAAGATCATCGCGCTAGGCTTCGCCTTCCACAAAGGCTCCTACCTGCGCAACGGCTGGAACGTCATGGACTTCGTGGTGGTGCTCACGGGGTGAGGGGCGCGCTGGGGACCCCGGGGACGAGCCCGGGACGTGCCGGTTTGGGGACAGAAATGTGTCACGGCGGGGACAATCCCCGCGCAGGTGTGCGGGCGCAGGACCTGCCCCCTCCCATCCCCACCTGCGCCCCACCCGCGTTGTCCCACGTGTGCCCGCGCGTGTGCGGGGCCGCCGAGCTCGTCCCTTGTCCCCGTGTCCCCGGGGGCCTGGCGGCGCTGTCACAGCGTGTCCCCGAGGTGTCACTCAGCGCGCACCCGCTGCTGCCGACAGCTCCGGGGCCACCCCCTGCTCCCCCCCCCATTCACAGAGACCCCCTGGTCACACACAGAGACCCCCATGTTTTCCCCATGTGGGGAAACTGAGGCAGGAGTTTTTGGGGAGCTCTTTTTTTGGGGGGCTCTGTCCTGCGCGTTCTGTGTCATCGGTGGGTGGGGGGGGGGCATTCCTCTGCCCCTCACCCCACCTCTCTGCCCCCCCCAACCCTCCCGGCGCCCCCCAACCCCTGTTCCCGACATTGCTCCGTCCGGGTAATGAGAGCTGGATTAATTAGGGATGGATTGATTAGGGGTGGATTAATTGGGGTGAGTGGGGGTGTTTGGGGGTCACGGGGGGGGCCAGGTCTGACCGCGATGTGGGAAGTGATGGATGATGGATGAGCATCGCCATCCGGTTGCCATGGCAACAGGGGACCGTCCGCAGCACCGGGGCCAGCACTGAACCCCTGGGGTACACCCGGGACCCCCTTTAGCTCCCCGGGCACCCCCTCCGAGCCTCGGGGAACGCCGGGGCCGGTGCTGGCCGGTGGCCGCGACCCCCGGGCTGGGACCAGCGCTGGCATCAGCCACCACCGGCAGCATCGCCGGAAAAGGCTAAAAATAGCCCCGAGCTACCGCCCGCGCTGGCGGCACCGGCTGCCGGCCCTGCGGCACGTGGCCCTGCGGCGGGGACACGGGGGCTCGCGGGGGCTGTGACAGCACCGCCGCGGGCTCGTGGTGGCCGCGGGCTAGAGGCCATGTGACAGAGATGTGGGGGCTCACAGTGGCCACGGGCTAGCGGCCGTGTGACAGAGATGTGGGGGCTCACAGTGGCCATGGGCTAGCGGCCGTGTGACAGAGATGTGGGGGCTCACAGTGGCCACGGGCTAGCGGCCGTGTGACAGAGATGTGGGGGCTCACAGTGGCCACGGGCTAGCGGCCGTGTGACAGAGATGTGGGGGCTCACAGTGGCCACGGGCTAGCGGCCGTGTGACAGAGATGTGGGGGCTCACAGTGGCCACGGGCTAGCGGCCGTGTGACAGAGATGTGGGGGCTCACAGTGGCCACGGGCTAGCGGCCGTGTGACAGAGATGTGGGGGCTCACAGTGGCCACGGGCTAGCGGCCGTGTGACAGGGATGTGGGGGCTCGTGGGGGCCAGGGGCTCATGACCGTATGACAAAGATTTGGGGGCTCACAGTGGCCAGGGGCTCGTTGTCCGGGACAGGGGCTCACAGCGGCTGTGACAGATGTGACACCGTGGCCATGGGCTCGCCTTGTCCCACAGAGGACGTGGTGCCTTTTGGCAACCATGGGGCCAGTGGTGGTCCTTGGGCACGGTGTCTCTCAGTTGTGGGTGGTCCCTGGCCATGCTGGGACGTGCTGATGGCCGTGGCCACTCCGGATGGCCACGGTGGCCCAGCCGGGGGTCCCCAAAGCCGCTGACCCCGCTGTCCCCGCAGCATCCTGGCCTCGGTGGGCTCCCAGTTCGACCTGCGGACGTTGCGGGCCGTGCGAGTGCTGCGGCCCCTCAAGCTGGTCTCGGGGATCCCAAGTGAGCGCTGGGGGAGGATTTGGGGGTCTCGGGGTGGGACGGGGGGTGGTCCCCGGGGGGCGTGGCCGCTCAGTCGCCGCTTCTCCAGGTTTACAAGTCGTGCTGAAGTCCATCATGAAGGCGATGATCCCGCTGCTGCAGATCGGGCTCCTGCTCTTCTTCGCGATCCTCATCTTCGCCATCATAGGATTAGAGTTTTATATGGGCAAATTCCACACCACCTGCTTCGACCTGGTCACAGGTAGGGCAAACTCCTCCCCCAAATCTCCTTAAATCCCCCCTAAACCTCCCTAAATCCCTCCCAACCCCCCCTGAATCCCCTCAAACTCGCCCTAAAGCCCACCATCCCCTCTCCCCAGCACCTCCCAATCCCCTCTAGCCCCCTAAACCTCTCAGCCACCCTTGGGCCCCCCTGAATCCTCTTAAATTCCCCGAACTCCCTCCCCTTGTGCCTCAGTTTCCCTCCAGGGCGGGCCGGGATCCCGGGGTTGGGATCCCGGGGTTGGGAGCGAGGCTGCGGGGATCAGATCCTTTCCTCCCGCCCCTCCGAGCCAAACCCTCCCAAATCTCCCCGGGCCGGGGGCCAGCGCTCGATTTGGAACGTCCTAATTGCTGCTCTCCCTTGATGAAGCCGTTAATTGGCCGCGGTTATTTCTGTCCGTGCCCTGCGCGGCGGGAGAGGGGAGGGGGAGGTCCTGGGGACATGGTGGGGGGGGTCCTGGGGATACGGAGGGGGTTCAGACCTCGGGACCCTCCTCTCCCAAGACGAGATCAAGGTGGAGGTCCCGTGCGGGACGGACGAGCCGGCCCGGATCTGCCCCAACGGCACCAAGTGCAAGAAATATTGGGAAGGGCCCAACTACGGCATCACGCAGTTCGACAACATCCTCTTCGCCGTTCTCACCGTCTTCCAGTGCATCACCATGGAAGGGTGGACCGACCTCCTCTACTATGTGAGGGTTGTCCCCATCCCGGTGCCCTCCTGGTGCTGCCCGGTGCCCTCTCGGTGCCCTCCCGGTGCCACCCAGTGCCGCCCGGTGGCCCCCGGTGCCCGCTCGGGGCCGCCCGGTGCCCTCCCGATCTCCTTCTCCCTCTGGAGTCTCCTCCTGTCCCCCCCCCCCAACACCCTTAGGGGACCCCCCGAAGTTCAGGGGATCCCCTGGAACCCCCCACAGGTCATGGGGGATCCTCTTGGAATTCCCCCCCACACCCCCCAAAAAAAACCTCATGGACTCCCCCCACCCACACTTCCCTCCCCCCCTCCCCAGAGCAACGACGCCTCAGGGAACACTTGGAACTGGCTGTACTTCATCCCCCTCATCATCATCGGCTCCTTTTTTATGCTCAACCTCGTGCTGGGGGTCCTGTCCGGGTAAGCGGCGCTCGGGGGAGGTTTCGGGGGGGTCCTCGGTGCCTCCCCCCCCCGGGCCGGCTCTGACCGGGGGGGTCCGCAGGGAGTTTGCCAAAGAGCGGGAGCGGGTGGAGAACCGCCGGGCGTTCCTCAAGCTGCGGCGGCAGCAGCAAATCGAGCGGGAGCTCAACGGATACATGGAGTGGATCTCCAAGGCGGGTGAGGGTCGGGACCACCCCTCAAAAACCCTCTCGACCCCCCCCCGAAACCCTCCCCAACCTCCATAATCCCAACCCTTCGCACGCCCCCAAAATCCCTTCCCGAACGGTCCTCAAAGTTCCCTCAAATCCTCTCCAATCCCTCCGACCTTCTGGGACCACCCCCAAATCCCCCTTCGCCCATCCCAAATCTCCCCAAATCTCCTCTAACTCACCCAGGGGACCTCTGGGATCCCCTCAAACCCTCCCAACTATCTCCAGACACTCCTAACCTCATCCCAACACATCCCCGCCCCCTCCCCAAAACCCTCTCCAATCCCTCTCAGGATCTCCAACCGCCCTCTCGGGACCCCCGGGACCACCCAGCCCCGCCCGAACCCCTAAACCCCCCCTTTAACCCCCTCTTAACCCTTTCAGTGCTCCCAAACACCCCGCAATCCCCCTCCCAGGGGCTCCCAACCCCTCTCCCACCTCCGGCCCCCCTCTAGACCGAGCCCCCGAGCCCCCCCCGAGCCCCCCTGAGCCCCCCACTTTCCCTCAGAAGAGGTGATCCTGGCCGAGGACGAGCCCGAGGCCGAGCCCCGGCGCCCCTTCGATGGTAAGTGCGCAGCCCCCTCCCCCCGCCCCTCCCCGGGGGCGACCCCGGCCCGGCCCGGGGCCACCGCCGGGACCCCCCCGGGTGACGGCCGCCCCCCTGTGCCCCCCCCTGCGGGAGCTCTCCGGAGGGCCACCAGCAAGAGGAGCAAGACGGACCTGCTGAGCCCCGAGGAGGGCGAGGAGCAGCTGGGGGACATCGCGGCCATGGGTGGGTGACACGGGGACACGGTGAGGTGACAGTCCAGGGGTCTGTGGGTGCCCCAATGATGTTTTGGGTGGTGGTCGGGGGGATGGCACAGGGACAGCCTGGAGTGACACAGGGGCAACCTGGGGTGACACTCCGGGCCCCGGTGGTGGGGGGGGGTCTCCTGCAGGGTCCCCCTTCGCCCGTGCCAGCCTCAAAAGTGCCAAGCTGGAGAATGCCACCTTCTTCCACAAGCGGGAGCGGCGGATGCGCTTCCACATCCGGCGGATGGTGAAAACTCAGGCCTTCTACTGGACCGTGCTCAGTCTGGTAGCCCTCAACACCCTGTGTGTTGCTATCGTTCACTACGACCAGCCAGATTGGCTTTCCGACTTCCTCTGTGAGTCAGCCCCCGAGCCCTGGAGCCGCCCCGAGACCCCCCCCAAAACCCCCCGAGACCCCCCAAACCTCCCCAGCAGCTTCCAAATCTTTTTGTGTGTTGTTATCAGGCGCCACAACCACCCACGCCGGATTCCCGACTCCCTCTGGAGTCTCCCAGAACCCCAGAGAGAGCCCCCCAGAGCCCCCCCAAATCCACTGGAGGCCCCTGGAGTCGCCCAGAACCCACCAGAACCGCCCCCCCCAAGCCTCCCCAAGACTCCCAGAGCCCCCAGACCCCTCTAGCTCATGGGACACCACCCTGACTTTTTGGGATCCCCCTCCTCTCCTGTGATCCCCCAGGCCATGAGACCCCCGGGACCCCCTGGAGTGTCCCCCCCCCCTCACTGCCGTGTCCCCCCCTCCCCAGACTATGCAGAATTCATTTTCTTGGGACTCTTTATGTCCGAAATGTTTATAAAAATGTACGGGCTGGGGACGCGGCCTTACTTCCACTCGTCCTTCAACTGCTTCGACTGTGCCGTGAGTGCTGGGACGGGATTTGGGGATTTTGGGATTTTGGGATCAATGGGACGGATCAATGGGATCAATGGGATGGGATCGATGGGATCAATGGGATCAATAGGATCAACAGGATGGGATCAATAGGATGGAATCAATGGGATCAATAGAATGGGATCAATGGGATCAATGGGATTGATGGGATGAGATTTTGGGATTTTGGGATCAATGGGATGGATCCATGGGATCAATGGGATGGGATCAATAGGATGGGAACGATGGGATCAATGGGATCGATGGGATGGGATGGGATCAATGGGATCGATGGGCTCAATGGGATCGATGGGATCAATGGGATTGGGACCAATGGGATCATCCAGGGACCCCGCCCACTCCCAGGTTATCATCGGAAGCATCTTCGAGGTGATCTGGGCTGTTGTGAAGCCGGGAACATCCTTTGGGATCAGCGTGCTGCGAGCTCTCAGGTTACTGCGCATCTTCAAAGTCACCAAGTGAGCCCCACGTCCCCCCCGTGTCCCCTCGTGTCCCCTCGTGTCCCCCGTGTCCCCCCACACCCCCACAGCCCGCCGCTGTCCCCACAGGTACTGGGCTTCCCTGCGGAACCTGGTGGTGTCCCTGCTGAACTCCATGAAATCCATCATCAGCCTCCTCTTCCTCCTCTTCCTCTTCATCGTCGTCTTCGCCCTTTTGGGGATGCAGCTCTTCGGGGGACAGTGAGTGACCGGGCGGGGAATGGGGTCCCCCCGGGGTGTGCCCCCAGGGTGAGGGGGGTGGGGGTTTCTGTGCCCCCAGCTCCCTGCTTGGGGGGCACCTGGTGCTGGTGGGGCTCCCACCGCTGCCCCCCCCACAAACCCCCCCCAGGTTCAATTTTGACGACGGGACCCCTCCCACCAATTTCGACACTTTCCCAGCAGCAATAATGACGGTGTTTCAGGTAGGCCCCACCCCCCGGGGGAGGGCGGGGGGTTCCTGCTGGGGCGGGGGGCTCGTTGGGGGGGTCCCCGCTGCCCCCAGGGCTCCTCCCTCCCCCAGATCCTGACGGGAGAAGACTGGAACGCGGTGATGTACGACGGGATCAAATCTCAGGGCGGCGTCAAGGGCGGGATGGTTTTCTCCGTCTACTTCATTGTCCTCACCCTCTTTGGCAACTGTATCCTGGGGGTCCCGGGGGTCCCGGGGGGCTCCTGGGGGGGCTCGGGGCGAGGCCTGGGAGGGGAGGGGCTGCCCTGGCCCCGCTTTGCCTTGACGTGACCCCCAGACACCCTCCTGAACGTCTTCTTGGCCATCGCCGTGGACAACTTGGCCAACGCGCAGGAGCTCACCAAGGTCAGGGGTCCGGGGGGGGCTTGGAGGGTCTGGGGGGGTCTCGGGGCCAGGCTGGACGCGGTGCTGGGGCTTTGCAGGATGAGCAGGAGGAGGAGGAAGCCGCCAACCAGAAGCTGGCGCTGCAGAAGGCGAAGGAGGTGGCGGAGGTCAGCCCGCTGTCCGCAGCCAACATGTCCGTGACCATGTGAGTGCCCGGAGCCCGGCGGGACCGCCCCGGATCCGTGCCCGGATCCATCCCAGAGCCAGGCCAGGCCCATCCCGGCTCCATCCTTGGGTGCATCCTGAATCCTTCCTCAGCGGCACCCCCGGATCCGCCCCGGCTCCATCCCAGCTCCGTCCCTGGGTCCATCCTGGCTCTTTCCTCGGCTCCATCCTGGCTCCATCACAGCTCCATCTGCGCATCGATCTCGGCTCCATCCCTGAGCCATCCTTGACTCCATCCCAGCCCCATCCCCGCTCCGTCCCGCCTCCATCCCATCCCCACCCTCGCCTCCATCCCGGATCCTCCCCGGCCTCCATCCCAGCCCCGTCCCGTCCGCACCCCGGCCCCTCCCGACCCAATCCCGCCCCCGGGGCCGCAGGAAGGAGCAGCAGAAGAACCAGAAATCCTCCAAGTCGGTGTGGGAGCAGCGCACGAGCGAGCTGCGGAAGCAGAACCTGCTGGCGAGCCGCGAGGCGCTGTACAGCGAGCTGGACCCCGAGGAGCGCTGGAAGGTGCCCTACGCTCGCCACCTGCGCCCGGACATGAAGACACACCTGGACCGGCCGCTGGTGGTGGACCCGCAGGAGAACCGCAACAACAACACCAACAAAACGCGACCCGGGGAGCCCCCGCCAGACCCCCGGTTCGGGCCGCTCCGCGCCGAGGAGCTGCGGCGGCAGCAGCCGCGCTACCCCGAGCACGGAGTCGGACCCCGGCCCGCGGACCCCGCGGGACCCCCCGGGAGCCGCCGACCCCGCAGCAGCAGCCGCGAACCCGAGAGGGAACCCAGCCAGGAGCGCGGCTACGTCGAGGGCGAGCGGCCCAAAGGGCGGCACCGCAGCCGCGACGGCCGCGCCGGGTCCCCCCCGGGCGAGCGGGAGCACCGGAGGCACCGCGGGCACCGGCGGGGACCGGAGGAGGGTGAGGAGGGAGCCAGGCCCGAGCGGCGGCCGCGGCACCGGGAAGGGGGGCGGCCACCGAGGGGAGAGGGCGACCCGGAGCACGGGGATGGCGAGCGGCGGCGGCGGCACCGGCACGGACCCCCGCCCGGGTACGACGGCGAGGGCAGGAGGGAGGACAAGGAACGGCGGCACCGGCGGAGGAGGTGAGGGCGAGGGAGGGACCCCCGGGGGGTGGCGGGATCCCAAGGAAGAACCGACCGGGTCTCGGCGTTCCCGGACCCCGGAGCGATTCTCGGGTCCCCTCTGAGCCCCCTCCCCTCTGCTCCACCCCCTCCCCAGGGAGACGCAGCCGCCCCCGGCTCCATCGGGCCCCACGCTCTCCACCACTCGCCCCATCCAGCAGGACCTGGGGCGCCGCGAGCCCCCCGTGGCCGAGGACATCGACAACATGAAGAACAACAAACTGGCCACGGCCGAGCCCCCCGAGCCGCCCGCCATGGGCAACCACACCCCCTGCCCCCCCTCCGGGCCCCCCCGCCGGCCCCCCCCCACCACCAACCCCCCGCCCCCCGAAAATTCCCTGGTGGTCACCAACCCCGGCCCCCCCAACAACCCCGCCAAGGCCGGGGGCAAACCGGAGCACACGGCCGTGGACATCCCACCCCCCTTCCCGCCGCCCCCCAGCAACGCCCTGGTCCAAGGTAGGGCACCCACCGAGATTTGGGGGTTCTGGGGGGGTCTGAGGGGGTCAGGGGCACAAGGGGAGTCGGGGGGGCGGGGGGTTGAGGGGGATCAGGGGTGTGGGGGTGATCTGGGGGGGTCTCAGGGGGGTCCCTGACGGCGCTGCCCCCGCAGTGAACAGGAACGCCAACCCCGAGCCGCTGCCCCGTAAGGAGGAGGAGGAGAAGAAGGAGGAGGAAGGCGACGGGCAGGACGAGAACGGCCCCAAGCCCATGGTGCCCTACAGCTCCATGTTCATCCTCTCCACCACCAACCCGTGAGCACCGGGGGGACCGGCAGGGCCCTGGGGGGGGGTCCGGGAGGGGGGGGCTCGGGGGTCCCCGCTGACCGTGTCCCCGCCAGGTTCCGGCGGCTGTGCCACTACATCGTGAACCTGCGCTACTTCGAGATGTGCATCCTCATGGTCATCGCCATGAGCAGCATCGCGCTGGCGGCCGAGGACCCCGTGCAGCCCAACGCCCCCCGCAACAACGTGAGACCCCCTCCCCTCCCTTTCCGCCGCCTGCGGGGTGGGCACGGGCGGATCTGGGGGCGGGGGAACCCCAAAATAACTCCTGACATGGGAGGGGCTCCGCACTCGGTGTGCGCTGGCTCTGAGAGAATGAGTGTCTGGAGTGGTGGGGGTGGTCTGGGGGGGTCCCGGGATTCTAGGGGGGGTCCCGGGGGGGGTCCCGGGGTTCTGGGGGGCTTTGGGGATCCTGGGGCTGCCAGGGGTACCCCAAACCTTGCGCCCCACCCCCCTCCCCCTCAGGTTCTGCGTTACTTCGATTACGTCTTCACGGGGGTCTTCACCTTCGAGATGGTGATCAAGGTGAGCTTGGGGAGGGTCTGCAGGCCGGGGGAGCCCCCCCCGGAGCCCCCTGACCCCCCGTGTTGTCCCCGCAGATGGTGGATCTGGGGCTGGTGCTTCACCAAGGTTCCTATTTCCGGGACTTGTGGAACATTCTGGATTTCATCGTGGTCAGCGGGGCGCTGGTGGCCTTTGCCTTCACGTGAGTGCCCGGGGGGGGGACACGCAGGGGATGGGGTGGGGAGGGGGTGGCCTCGCCCCCCGGAGCCCCCCCCCCGTGGGGCCCGTCCCGCTGCCCGCGCTCTCTGTTGTCGCTTTGACGTCTGTCCTCGTTGTCACCGCGTCTGTGTCGTCCTGTCACCGTCCCCGTGTCGGTGTCGCAGGGAAGGAGGAGGAACCCTCTAGGAAGGGGTGAGAGAACCCCTAGGAAGGGGCGAGTAACCCCTGAGAATCCCCTGAGTAGAGGCTGAGAATCCCCAGAGTGTCTGAGCAGCCCTAAAGTAAAGGCTGAGAATCCTCCGAGTAAAGGCTGAGCATCCCCTGAGTAACTGAGCAGCCTCCAAGTCTGGGCTGAGCATCTCCCATGAGACCGAGCAGGCCCCCCCGAGTAACCCGGGAGTAAACCCGGAGCAGACCCCGACGTGGGTCTGCCCCGAGGGTCCCGTCCTGGCTCGGGGGGGGGGGTCGCAGGTGCCGGGGGGGGGCTCTGACCGTGCCTTGTCTCTCCGCTTCCTCTGCCCGCGCCGCAGGAGCAGCTCACGGTAAATCCTTCTGCCTTCGTCTCCGTCCTCGTCCTCTCCTCGTGCTCTTGGTCGTGCCTCGCTCCCCCCACCTCAAATTCCCAAATTCCCACCCCCGTCCCCCCAAAACAGCCTCAGGGATGGGGGGTGTGGGGGGGGGAGAGGGCGGGGCTCAGCCTGGAGGGAGGGGAGGGGAGGGACGGGATGGGGAAGGGGGGGTGGTGGGACCACCCTTGGTCCCGCTGGGGTTCCCGGGGTGTCCCGGTCACTCCAGGGGTCTCACGCCCCCCCCGTTCGCCCCCCTCCCCAGCGGCAGCAGCAAAGGGAAGGACATCAACACCATCAAATCCCTGCGCGTCCTCCGCGTGCTCCGGCCCCTGAAAACCATCAAGAGGCTGCCCAAGCTCAAGGTGGGCTCCGGGGGGGAATTCACTGCTCACCAGGGCGGAGGGGAGGGAGGAATTCAGGGGTGCTGACCCCCCCCCCCCACCTCCTCCTCCGCCTCCCCAGGCCGTGTTTGACTGCGTGGTGAACTCGCTGAAGAACGTCCTCAACATCCTCATCGTCTACATGCTCTTCATGTTCATCTTCGCCGTGGTGGCCGTGCAGCTCTTCAAGGGCAAGTTCTTCTACTGCACGGACGAGTCCAAGGAGTTCGAGAAGGACTGCAGGTAGGGCCCGGCCGGGAGGGGCTCTCCCCACCTGCCCGACCCCCGCCCACCGCCCCTCCCCGGGCAGGGGCGAGTACCTGGTGTACGAGAAGGACAACGAGGTGAAGGCGCAGAAACGCGAGTGGAAGAAATACGAGTTCCACTACGACAACGTGCTCTGGGCGCTGCTCACGCTCTTCACCGTCTCCACCGGCGAGGGGTGGCCGCAGTAAGGCTGCGGGGATTTGGGGCTGGGGGTTCCGGAGGGGTCTGGAGGAGGGGGAGAGCAGCGGGACCCCCAGCCCCAAATCCCCGCCCTGCTGCCGCCGCAGGGTCCTCAAGCACTCGGTGGACGCCACGTACGAGAACCAGGGGCCGAGCCCCGGGTACCGCATGGAGATGTCCATCTTCTACGTCGTCTACTTCGTCGTCTTCCCCTTCTTCTTCGTCAACATCTTCGTGGCCTTGATCATCATCACCTTCCAGGAGCAGGGGGACAAGATGATGGAGGAGTACAGCCTGGAGAAGAACGAGGTGCGGCCCCCGCTGCCTCTGCGGGGCCCTGGGGGCGGCGCCGGGGCGGGTGACACCCCCGTGTGTCCCCTGCGGGGCGGGTGACACCCCCGTGTGTCCCCTGCGGGGTGGGTGACACCCCCGTGTGTCCCCTGCGGGGCGGGTGACACCCCCGTGTGTCCCCTGCGGGGTGGGTGACACCCCCGTGTGTCCCCTCCCCGTCCCCGCAGAGAGCCTGCATCGACTTCGCCATCAGCGCCAAGCCTCTGACCCGGCACATGCCCCAGAACCGCCAGAGCTTCCAGTACCGCATGTGGCAGTTCGTGGTGTCCCCCCCGTTCGAGTACACCATCATGGCCATGATCGCCCTCAACACCATCGTGCTCATGATGAAGGTGGGCAGGGACGGCGCCGGGGGGGGGCTGGGGAGCCCCTCAGGGGTTGTTCTCAGCCCCCTCCCCGTGAGCCGTCCAGCTCCTGCACCCCCTGGGGTTTGTCCGTCCTGCTCTGTCCCCTCTGTGCCCTGCAACCGGAGTTGTCCCTGTCCCCCCCAAAGCACCCCTGGGATCCGTTCTCCACCCTGGAAACACCCCAGGACCTGTTCCTGTCCCCTCCAAGACCTGTCCCTGTCCCCCTGGACCTGTCCCTGTCCCCCTGGACCTGTCCCTGTCCTCCTGGACCCGTCCCTGTCCCCCTGGACCCCCCCGGCCCGCAATGCGCCCCTGTCCCCACCCTCCCGCGCTGTCCCCGCAGTTCTACGACGCCTCTGACACCTACGAGAATGTGCTCAAGATGTTCAACAACGTCTTCACCTCCCTCTTCTCCCTCGAGTGTCTCCTCAAGATCATGGCCTTCGGTGTCCTGGTACGGGGGGGGACAAGGGGGACCCCGGGGTTGGGGACACGGGGTGTGCCAAGACACCAGGGAACGCCAGGAATGTCGGGGACCCCAAAAACCTGACGGGACCCCAAAACCTGAGGGGACACGAGGGACCTCATGGGCATCCTGGGCACAGGGATCCACCCCAGGGCCACCCCGAGATTTGGAGGCCAGCACAGGGGTCTACCCCAGGACCCCCACATCCCTTCTCCCCCCCTTCCTCACCCCTTCCCCAGAATTATTTCCGCGACGCCTGGAACATCTTCGACTTCGTGACGGTGCTGGGCAGCATCACGGACATCCTGGTGACGGAGTTCGGGGTAGGTGGGCGCCGCTGCCCCCCTGCCCATCCCCCTGGCCCCATTCTCGGGGTCCCCCTTTCCCCCCCCCACCTCCTCACCCCCCTTTTTTCCGTGTCCCCCCTCCCCAGAACAACTTCATCAACCTGAGTTTCCTGCGGCTCTTCCGCGCCGCCCGGCTCATCAAGCTCCTGCGCCAGGGTTACACCATCCGCATCCTGCTCTGGACCTTCGTGCAGTCCTTCAAGGTGCGCCCCCAAACCCCCAGGTGCATCCCCAGGTGTCCCCCCCCACCACGAGGGTCACCCCCAGACCCCCGTGACCGGCCCCGCTGCGCCCCCAGGCCCTGCCCTACGTGTGCCTGCTCATCGCCATGCTCTTCTTCATCTACGCCATCATCGGGATGCAGGTGAGACACCTGGGTGCAGGTGAGACCTCCTGGGTGCAGGTGAGACACCTGGGTACAGGTGAGACTCATGGGTCCAGGTGACACCCACGGGTGCAGGTGACACCCCCAGCCCCCCCCGGCCCACCTGAGCTGTCCCACCCTCCCTCAGGTGTTCGGGAACATCGGGATCGAGGAGGAGGATGACGAGTCGGCCATCACCCAGCACAACAACTTCCGCACCTTCTTCCAGGCGCTGATGCTGCTCTTCAGGTGAGCCCCGTTGTCACCTGGGCAGCCCCAGTGTCACCTGGGTACCCAGTGTCACCCCGGCAGAGTCCCAGAGCCACCCCAGTGTCACTTGTGCCATCCCAGTGTCATCCCAGCACAGTCCCAGTGCCATCCCAGTGTCACCTGTGCCATCCCAGTGTCACCTGTGCCATCCCAGTGCCACCCCAGCGCAGTCCCAGTGCCATTCCAATGTCACTTGTGCCATCCCAGTGCCATCCCAGTGTCACCTGTGCCATCCCAGTGCCACCCCAGCGCAGTCCCAGTGCCATTCCAATGTCACCTGTGCCATCCCAGTGCCATCCCAGTGTCACCTGTGCCATCCCAGTGCCACCCCAGCGCAGTCCCAGTGTCCCCAGTGCCGCACTGGTGCCACCCGCTCTCCGAGATCCGCTCGGCCGTGTCCCCCCCGTGTCCCCCCACCGTGTCCCGTGTCCCGTGTCCCGGTTTCCGGGCTCGTGACCGCTGTCGCCTGTCGCCAGGAGCGCCACCGGGGAGGCGTGGCACGAGATCATGCTGTCGTGCCTCAGCGGGAAGCCGTGCGACGAGAACTCGGGCATCAAGGAGGACGAGTGCGGCAACGAGTTCGCCTACTTCTACTTCGTGTCCTTCATCTTCCTCTGCTCCTTCCTGGTGAGCCCCCGGGGGGGGGGTCCCCCAAGCCAAATCAGCCCCCCCCGAACCCCCCCTGTGCCCCCCAGAGCCCCCGCCCCACATCCCGCATCACCTTCCTTCATCTCCTTCATCTTCCTCTCGCTCTGCTGAGCCCGGAAAGGATCCGGGAGGGGGGGGTCCGCAAACCGCCCCCCTCCCCAAAACACCCCCGTACCCCGGGGGGAGCCACCACCCCCCCCAGACCTTCCTTCATCCCCTTCCTTCCTCACCTTCCTCACCTTCCTCACCTTCCTCACCTTCCTCACCTTCCTCTCCCTCTGTCGAGCTCGAGGAGGTTCCGGGGGGGCTCTGGCGGGGGGGGGACACAGCCCCCTGACCCCCCCCGACCCCCTCGACCCCTCCCCAAAGATGCTGAACCTTTTCGTGGCCGTCATCATGGACAACTTCGAGTACCTGACGCGCGACTCGTCCATCCTGGGCCCGCATCACCTGGACGAGTACGTGCGGGTCTGGGCCGAGTACGACCCCGCAGCCTGGTAAGGACCCCCCCGGGGGAGGGGGGCAGGGACCCTCCGGACCCCCCCAGACCCCCCCGGATCCCCCCAGACCCCCCCAGACCCCCCCGGATCCTCCCGGCACCGGGGACACCTCGGGGGGGGGGGCAGAGGGAAGGGGCAGAAAAAGTGACCGGGACCCCCCCCGAGTCCTCCGGGACCACCCGGGGGGTCCCCGGTGTGTCCCCCCCCACCCCAGGGGGTCCCCGGTGTGTCACCCCCCCCCCAGAACCGGAGGTGGCCCCGTTGGGGTCCCGGGTGGTCCCTGGAACCCGAATTGTCTCCGGGGGGGGGTCCCGGGGGTTTCTGTCGCCCCCTCCCCATTTGGGGGAGGGTCTGTGGTGCCCGAATCATCTCGGGGGGCGGCGGGGGG